TTCTTGGTTTGGCGAGGAAAGTCGAGGATCACGCAAGTACTCTCATCAGTAGAACGAGCAAAGTGTGGCTTTAATGTATGACAATGGTTGACATCTTAAAGATGTTTCTTAAAGCAGAGAGAGAGAACGGGCAACTGGCTTTTACATCTTTCTACTGTTCACCAAATGTTACCATATCTAGGTGCGGCAGGACACAATTTATACACGCCCTTAGCATACTTGTACCCCCAGATGATGAACCAGCTAGGAGAGACTCAGCTTCATATCTATAAGAGTTTTTCGGACGGCCATCACGTAATTCGGCGAAGTGATCTCTTGAACGTTAAGGCAGGACTTTCTTCAGATTTAGCCATTGAGCAAATATGAATGTGAAGTGTCAAATCAATCGGGGGACTGACAAGAGGCAGGGGAATCAGCAAATCACAGACTACAACGTGGCTTCTGTCAATGCCAGCTTGCGCAGAACTAAATAACGCCATGCAAAAAGTGACAGGCACTTTGCGTCTCTCAAGTGAACAGCACAAAGAACTGAGTCCATCGAGATCGGCAAAGGACGCGGAGGATATGATGGCTGTTACCAAGTTTCTTCATGAGAGAAATCCGTTGGCTGAAGACGCTAGTCTGAGAAATATCGTTACAGGGGTGGTTGCAGAAACAGCTGTCAACGTTGAAAAAGCTCAAGATGTTGGTAAAACTATTCTCAGCAAAATGGAAGGTGGATCAGTCTCAGAATTGTCTTTGAATAAAAAAGACAAAGTTGTTGTAATGGCTGTAAAGACAGCTCTATAGAGTAACCACGACCCTGTGACTATTGATTCTCAGTTGTTGTTTCAGATATTAGTGACAGCTGCAACTTCAAAATATGAAGATAAGATAGGGATTTTTAAACATGAACTTTGCAGCTACCCCTTGTCATTGTCTGAATCTGCAGATATCCTTCATCAATCCAACAAATCAGCTCTGCTAGAAGAACTTAGGAAATCAAGGACAATGGTTACGCCTGATCTGTCATCACCAGCTAACCTACAGATCGTCGTTTGATGGAGGGTCTTGACTGCAGCGCATTCCCTGGGAACGAGGGAGCACCTTCATTTGTGTTATCGAGACATAATATGCTTCTTATGTCAGCAAGAATTATCCAAACGCAACCTTTGTTTTTTAGGGATATTTGTCTAGACTGTCGACAAAAGATATGACACAGCTCAAAAGAGCCAAAGGAATTACAGGACAAGCTGTTCATTTTAGACATGGTTCTCCAATCTTCAAAGGATCTTTTTCTTGTCAACAAAGAAAATAAGCAAGGTTTCTATCAATGCCCATGGGTCAGTGCTTGAAGACAGAGGACACATTGTCATGTACAGCAAATGTGATGCTGACCCTAAGATTGTCCAAGCAGCAATCAAGTGTGCGCAGCACAAAGATACCGCTGTAATAGGAGAAGATACAGATCTTCTCCTCCTGTTAGCACATTATGCTGAAGAACATGCTCATAACGTCTATTTCTACCCGAACAAAAACATCCCAGCTTAAAAATGGAGCAATGGGATATTAAACAATTAATTATTCAACTGGGGCATTTCGACATTCTCTGCTCTTTCTCCATTCCCTTACTGGCTGTGACACCACCTCAAGACCATTCGGTATTGGAAAAGGCTATGTACCTGCAAGAACAACTGTGACACTCGATGCTGCTCCTGTCGGAAACACAGATTAGAATGCTCACAAGCATGTGCAGAGTGCCATGGTATCCGCTGCCTCAATTCACAAAACATTTGTTTTGTATAGAGGATACTTACATGTAGCCCACTCTTCTTATTGTGAAATAGTATATATCATGTATGTATGCATGTAGTATGTA